TAGGCTTGAGGAAGAAGGGCAATTTAAAGCAGTTCCTTCTTCTGTCTCCTTAGGTAAAGAGATCAGAACAACAAGCAAGAATTCAGTAACCAACCACTACAGTCACTTCCTGGACTAGTCTCTACCCAGCAGGCCCTGACTTCAGCAGATTCTGGCCCAGGGACTGGAGGAAGAAATGCTGCCAGGGCTGGTCCCCTGGGAGTAGAAACCATGAGAGATGGGATGGATTAGGGTTGAGCTAGAGGAGACTCAGACTCTCTAGGTTGAAAGGAGATTAGGGAAAAAGAGGTCATCTCCCAGCAGCAAGCAGAAGATGAGAAATGCAGGCAAGTGCCTTGTCCTGGGCCACCCCCACTCTTGCAGTCAGCCCTGGAGAGTTTGATCTTCTTCCCAGGGGTGGGTTCACTGGACATTTACATGTGAATGGTCTCTGCAGCCAACCTCTCTGCTCTCTGAGGAGAGGTCTTCCTGAATCACATCCTCTGCTGGACCTGGGCCTGTTTGGAGAGGCCAAAGCCGGCACCTGGTCTCCAGAACTTGTTTCCTGTGAATTCTGTGACTCTTAACAGGCCAGTTTATGATAAGCTTACTCCAGTAGTCTGAATTTTTTAAAAATAAAATGAATGTATTTTTATATTACCTGTATATCTGAAAGTAGATCTTGCTCCAATTTCTCACAAATTTAGAGTAAACCTCTGTGTAATTCCAGTGAAAGAGCCAGGATGGGCTTCTCAGGCAGGGACATGAATAGGCCCCAGGGCCTTGAGATTTCAGCTCATCAGGCTTCCTTTCCCCAGGATTCATATATTATTGGAAGATCCAGATCAAAATTAAGTATACCTTAATTCACAGAGTGTGAGGCTGTTAAGCCCAAGATCTAGGTAGATGATTATTTATATCCTAAACTTGAATGTCCTTTTCTGTCAAGAAAATGGAGCCTCCTAGGAACTTACCAACTTCTTGTCTGCTGTACTTATGGGATGAGGAGGCTCTTTGGTGATGTTCAGATTCCCTGATCACCTCGGTCAGAAGATGCTGGGACACATTGTTATGCTCCACCTTCCATCTTACATCATTATAGTTGTCTGTGTTCTCTTATCTCCCCTATTAACACTTGATGGCTGGCACCAGGATTTATAACCCTCTAGTGTTGTGACTTAAGTGTGGCAGAGCATTTCATTTATTCAGAAAATATTTGAGTGCAAGATGGGTGTTTGTTGAATGAATGACAAAGACTCATTTAACAGATTAAGCTTAGGATCTCCCTTGTTTTGCAGGCTTTGACTCTTGAACTTCCCTCCTTGCAGGCCAGGCCATGACTTAAGAAGGCAGCAGGCAACTGGGCAAAAGGAAGTGGGACTGTCAGCTGGTGCCCCCACCCATGCCCATATGCCCATAAGTGCCCTTTTCCCTGTCCATGGCACCAGATGCCTGCCACCGCTTTCCTCTTTTTGTGGCTGATCTTAAGGTTCACTGAACACATTCACCTATATCATAATGACAAATATAGACAGATCCTAAACAGTCACCTTTCCCTGAGCCTCTTGCAGCAACTCTTGCAGCCTCTGGGATTCCAATAATTGAGAGGGGTGGAGGGTTAGGTTACAGACACCGAGTAATTGGCTCTGGAGAAATTTGGCAGAAGGCAAGGAATCCTCAGGTGTGTTTCCCAGTTTTGTCCTGTGCTGGTATCTAGTGAGCAGGGCCTGTTTGTGACTTTGACTCTGACGGAAGCACTGAAAGGTCAGCAAGTCTAGATATACACCTAGGCGTGGCCAGCAGGTGGCTGTGAGCCAGGCCCCCTGGTTGGTCATTAAGAGGCAAAACAAGCAGCACACCCATGTGCTGTTGCCACCTGGTGGCTGGAGAGGGCAAGACATGTTCTGTTCAACCCCTTGGCCAGTCTTGAGTTTTGTCCCCACCCCTACTCCTCCCACTCCCACCTGCTTAAGCTGCACACTCAGTAGGCGGTGCCAGCCAGGGAGGAGGCCGAGGCCACGCTGCCCTTCTTGTTCAGCTACCTGCTTACCTCCTTCTCTTGTGGCTTGGCTTTCTGTTTTTTCTGTCTATGCATTCTTCTCCCACTCCACCCAGTAGCAATAACAAAGAAAGCCAGTGTTTGTTTATGGGCCTCTTACTATGCACCGTGAACTGTCTGAAGCACTTTACATGTGTTAACTCATTTAATCCTCATAAAAGCTCAATTAGGTGGATGCTATTATCTCATCCTCATATTGCAGGCAGAGAAACTAAGGCTCAGACAGATTAAGTCACTTGGTCTGGTTCCAGGGTTTGTGTTCCTAATCCCTACCCTATATTGCCCTCATGTTAGCTCCCTTTCTAGTTTGTTGAATGGCTCTTTGACAAACACAAAACTTGGGACTAGAAGTGATGTTGCAGAGCAACATTCTTGGCTGAGAGTATGAGTAGTTCCTTCATTTTCCAATGGGAAAAACAAAAAATGGCTTAGAGCAGTGGAGTTAGGAGGTACCTGGTCACTGAACACTCTTAAACTCCCACTCCCATCAGCCTCTCAACTCACTCAGTCTTCCCTGCCTCCTGAGTTCTGCCCCAGAAAATTTATCCCCATCTAGGACTCAGCCCTAGAGGGCTGGGCTGGAAAACTGCCTGTTCTTTGCAGCCTCTCCATCCATACAAGTCCCCCCCGTCCTGGTGAAAAGGCCACTTTCTTCACTCGGGAGAGTGCGGCGCTGGGAGTGCAGCAGCGCTCCCGCTGCAAACTAGTTCTGTGCGGGTAGAATGTTGTCACCTTGTGCTTCTGTGTGGTGCCCTGTCCTCCCAGAGGGAGGTGGACTGGTCTCCAGGAATCAGAAGAGAAGGCAGGGGGCCGGCCCGGTGGCACACTGGAGAGTGCGCCGCTTGGGAGCGCTGTGGCACTCCCGCTGAGCGTTCGGATCCCATGTGGAGACCAGTGTGCACTCACTGGCTGAGCGCGGTGCGGGCGACACCAAGCCAAGGGTTGCAATCCCCTTACAGGTCACAGAAAAGAAAAAAAAGAAAAGAAAAGAAAAGGCCCCTTTCCCACCTGTCTGCCATGTCTTCTTTGGAAATGCTAGGACACGGGCTCTGTGCTGATGAGGATATGTGGGCAGCATTGTTGGGCGTATGGCTAGAGGGGCAAGCTTATTGGCCAGTTGGTGTCTGGCCCGCCTGACCTCCTGCTGGGCCCTGCCTTCTCTTCTTTTTTTTTTTTTTCCTTTTTGTCTTTTTTACTGACCAGTAACGGGATCGCAACCCTTGATGTCGCGCCCGTACCAGGGACGAGCAACGGGATCGCAACCCTTGATGTCGCGCCCGTACCAGGGACGAGCAACGGGATCGCAACCCTCGGTGTTGCGCCCGCACCGCGCTCAGCCAGTGAGCGGGAACTGGTCTCCACATGGGATCCGAACGCTCAGCGGGAGTGCCACAGCGCTCCCAAGCGGCGCACTCTCCAGTGTGCCACCGGGCCGGCCCCCTGCCTTCTCTTCTGATTCCTGGAGACCAGTCCACCTCCCTCTGGGAGGACAGGGCACCACACAGAAGCACAAGGTGACAACATTCTACCCGCACAGAACTAGTTTATTCAGTAGTATGGGGAATGGAAAAAACAACAACAACAAAACTCTATCTTATTTACAGCAAAAATCAAACTGTACAATCTGATGGTTAGTTATCAAGTTAGCATCCAGCATCTTTGTATTTTTTTAAGTCAAATCAGTAGTAAAAACCAGTTAAATTTTTAACCCTTTGCAGGAATTGCCGAGGGGAGTGGGCAGGGGGAGAATCCATTACAGAAAAGCCAGAGGCTGGCCTGACAAATGGGAAACAGGAACACTTTTTCCCACCCATAGCCTCTTTCTAGCTACCTGCTCCAGAAGAAACGTCAGTGACAAGTCTGGAATACATGCTCAGAGTAAGTAGTGACTCGAATGAACAGCAGTTGGCAAAACTGAGGAGGGGGAGGAGAGGTGGGGACAACAGCCTGGAGGGAGGGGAAGGGCATTAGGTCCCCAAGCCAGGGCTGCTGGGTACACACCCAACCTGTGATGGCCACGTCAGACCCCCAGGAACAGGACACGAACCCATCCCGACACAAGAAGCAAATAAATAAAAAATATATATTAACTCTCTTCTCAGGGAGTGGGGGAGAGAGAGGAACAGGGCCTGGTCTTTGGAAGAAGAGAGCCAATTCCAAGAAGGGGCTAAAAATAGAACATCTCAGAGGCCACAACAAATCAGACCAAGTGGTGTTTGTCTGATTTGGGGGGATGGGTGAGTGGACACCAGAACCCAGACTTGACATCTGTGCTTGAGGCCCCTCAGGGCCACTGAGCCAGCACTGAGTTTACTCTCCTCCCCGTCCCACCCACATGACAGCAAAGAAGCGCAACTTAACACACGACTGGCCTTCCCCAGGCGCGGGTCCGGCAGGAACAATGAAGCACGTTTGGGTCAGCAGACTGAGGAAGCACCGGGCTGCAGCACAAGGCCAGGTCCAGGCAAAGGAGAAGCGCTGGGGCAGCCTGGCCCCCACCCGGGGACACAGACTCCCCTCTCGATGTGTTCATGCAGCATTTGGGGTTCCAGGGGCGCTGAGTCCTTCTGCCCCCTCGCCGGACAAGGCTTTTTCAGTTCCTGGGAGAGGCAGCACAGGCGGGGTGAGGCGCACCCTCTGACCTGGCCCTCGTCCTACTGCGGCCTGCCAGGGTGCAGCCTGCAGGGTTGGGCACCCTGGGTGCATGTGGCTTCGTCCTTTCCTTTTGGTGATGGCAAGTGAGGGGCCGGCCCCCCCGAGACTCCCTCTCCTCCCAGAGGCACAGCAGATGGGAAACTGAGGAGAGGCTGGGAAGCATCCTGGGAGGTCCTATCCTCTTTGGGAAGGGAAAGGGGAGTCAATTTCCAGCGTATAAAAAAAAAATAATCCCTGAAGTCATGAAGAGTGGAGATCCTTTTTAAAATTCTTTTTTCCTCTTTTCTGAAAAACTTTCTCTTGGACATGTAGGCCCCAGGGGTCCAAAGTGCAGTGAAAGGGATGGTGGGGGAGGGAGTTGGCACTAGGTGGCCTCAGGAGGGGCCCAGGCTCCTCAGATGGACGTTTCGTCGCTGCTGCAGGCAGGTGGCAGGAGCAGGGCGGGACAAAGCACAGACAGAAGTGAGGCATGAGAGCAGCTGGGAAGGGATGGAGCCTCAGGCGGAAGAGCCATGGCCCAGGGTTAATGCAGGAAGTTAAAGAAGAGAAATCTGGAGAGGCAAGAAAGGAAAGTGGCAGAAAAGGCAGACAGAGGGTTAGCTGGAGCAGAGAAGAAAGGGGGAAGCTTTCACCAGAAGAAGGAAACAGAAAAGCAACCCCAGCTCCCCACCCGCCCTCACTGCCCTGTGCTGGGGCACTGTGGTTTGCAGGCAGCTGGGCCAACCACACTCAGCTCCTTCATCCTCTGACTGTCAACCAGAGCAGCTTGGGGAGGCCTGGAGGCAGCTCTGGGTCCGGCCGGGGCCCCTGCAGGTCGCACCCTGTCCTGCCCACCCAGCCACTCACTCTGAGCCTGACGAGTCCTCATCCACAGTGCCTGCCTTGATGCTCATGGCAATGGGCATGACCCCGTTCAGCTGCTCCTGGAGACTCTGCCGGGGCGGCGGGCGGGGTGGAGGCCCGCCCCGGCTACCCTCGCTGGCTGAGGAGCCCCGAGAAGAACCTGTGCCCTGCTCCAAGGGTAGCCGTAGGAGGCTGCTCTTCTCGCTGATGGTGGGCAGACACTTCTTCTTGAGGATGCCTGTGGGCCGGGAGGGCAGGTGCTGTGAGGTGCAGGTGGAAGGAGCAGGGGGCTCTCCTCAGGCTCTGGCAGCCACAGGGAAATGGGAGGTGTGAGGTTGCTGACTTGGGGGGTGGCAGCTGGGGGTGTTCCACTCACCTTTGTGAGGTTGGGCAGAAGGGCCCGGAATGGGGCCCAGGGACCCCTCCCGAGATAGGGCGTCTCCATTTTCCCGTGGCCGCTCCTCAGGGGCCCCGTTGCCACTACTCTCCTTTGCTGTGGTCCCAAAGTCTCCTGGCCAGGGGGCCTTCCCAGGCCCTGGGCCCCCATCTGGCAGGGAAGGGGGGTAGATGAGGCCCAGAGAGGACAGACAGCTAGGATGGTCATCACTCTGTCTTGCTTCCCATAAACCCCGGGCCCCTTGCCCTTCAACTGCCTCCCAAAAGCCACGGCCCCGTGCTGGCACACCCTTGGGGGTACTGTGCAGGGGCAGTCTCTCGGCTCCAGGCCCCAGCAGGCTGTCCCAGCCCTGCTCTCCAGGGAAGGCAGCCCCCTCCTCTCCCTCCTCTTCCTCCTCCTCGCTGTCTGATGAGTGGGTAGAGGCATAAGAGCCACTCTGGTCATCTTCCAGGGACAGGTCACTGTCGGAGTCCGTGTCAGGATCTGGGAAGTCAGGGAAAGATCACAGCCGGCCCGCCCGCCTCCTCCCACCCTCAGCAGACGCCAGCCAGCTGCCCGCTGGGTGGCCAGGGCCTTCTGTCCTCACCATGCTGCTGGTCTTGGCCTTCCAGGAACAGGCTGCCTGGTTCCCCCAGGCCAGGTGGCCCTTGGCCAGGGTTCAGTGTGGACTCCTCCCTAAGAAGACAAGACCATGCTGGAGGGGTCAGCTGGGCCCCCTGCCCAGTGTCCCCTGCTCCTCTTTCCCCTAGGATCCCCAGTTCCTGCCTTGTGTCCCTTACTGCTTCTAATTCAAGCTGCCACCCGAGTCAGCCACGGCATGTGTTACTCAGGCCTCAGCAGCTGGCTGGCCTGGGTCTAGCCTGCATGGTCCTCTCCCCCTCCTCAACCCTCCCATTTCCGGGGCTCACCTCAGCAAGAAGGGGATGTAGCTGGGCTGACTCTTGCCTGAGCGGCTGGCACTGTGCAGAGAGCCAGCCGAGTCTCCATAGGGCTGGTACAGCCGCCCGTCTGCGTAGGGGCTGGGGCAGTTGTAGGACTAGGCAGGGAACAGAGAGGTCGGTATGTGAGGGGGCGGGATGGAGGTGGCCCCAGGCTGGGAATTGGAAGAGCAAAGGGAACTGGCCCTAAGCTCTACCTCCCGCACGCACAGGTCTGAAGGAGGGAGGCCCTGCATCTCTGCTGTCCCCATCAAGGCCTGGCAGTGGTCATAGCTCTGCCATAGCTGTGCCAGCCCTGCACACCCCAAGTACCCTGCACTTGCTCTATAGAGGCTTGTTGGTAAATGATGGTACCAGAAGCTGTCTCCTGAGAGCATCCTGGGAGACAGAAAATTTACCAAAATTCATGAGGGATTCTCGGGTGCAGGGCATTTGTTACCTGTCTCCATCCCAAACTCCTCCAAGACAAAATCCAATACCCGCCCCCCTCCCCATGTCTCCTTCCCAGGCTACACATACCATTTCACTACCCCTTCCTCCTTCCAGGAAGGGATGTAAGGATTGAAAAAAGGAAGGAGAAAAGTAGGGCAAAAAGTACAGAGAACAGGCTCTTTGGGCCTCCTGCCTCTCCCTCCCTTCACCCCCTACCAAGACGCCTCCTCCTCTCCAACCCCTGGCTTCCTCACCGAGGTCAAGGTAGACTTGGTGGTCAGAGCAGGGTCAGGGCTGGGCTTGCGGCTGCAGGCGTACTTGAGCGCCTTCCGGACCTCTTTGCTAAGCACCACGTAGGAGAGGAAGATGAAAGGGCCCTGGCAGGCAAGAGGCAGCAACAGTCTGTGCACATCCAGGCACCCACAGCAGCTTCCCTTCCCTCTCTGTGGGCTGAGCAAGGTACCTGGATGCAATTGCAGGCAGCGAAGAGGTAGTGGAAGAGGAGGGTGTCACTGTTGATGGAGAGCAGTGCCAGCAGCCACGCAGTACTCAGCAGCAGGAGGACAGCAAAGGAGGCCCGCAGGCCCGAGCTGGGAGTGGGCCAGGCCATGAGTCCACCATGAGGCATCCTGTGCCAATACCCACCCACTGCCCAGGCACCCCACCCCATACTCACACAGGGCCTTTCTTCTCAAAGCCCTGCCGCTGGGCAGCGCAGGAGGCCCGGGCCGCCAGTATGTATAGGAAGACACTCATCTAGGCAGGGGAGAGAGAGGCACAGGGGATCACCAAGGGACAGACAGCTTCAGCCCCGCCCCATGGGACCTGGCAGCCTTGGCTGTTCCTAAAGGGGATCCCGAGGACACACTCAGCTTGCTCACCCCCAACCCACTTTCTAGAGCTTACTGAAACAGCGAAAGCCACCGGGCCAGCAAAACTCCAGATGAGCGTATCGTAGATGGAGAGCCAGCAGAAGTCAGGGTTCCCGTAGCCCTCAGGGTCCAAGCCTACAGCTAGACCTGGGAGCATGGAATAGCAGCAGGGTGGTGAGGGGCTTGGGAAGCAGGGCTCCAGTCTGGTGGTTCACAAGAACAGGCGCACCACATGGACATGGGTTCCCACCCACCATCTGTCCACACCGTCCTTTCCAGGCTGGGGGACCGACCCATGGGTGGGAGCCTCAGGAACTGTATGAAATCAGAGGGATACCTATGAATAAAGTGGCCTGGGATATAGGTGGGGAGAATGTGGTATGATGGTGGACCTAGCGCTAGGATGTAGAGCCTCCAGGCCAGGAAGTGGGTAGGGTACCTGTGATGAAGGCTGGCACGCCCCAGCCCAGCATATAGTAGAAGCGCATGGGGCCGGCATTGACATCGCGCACCTCAGTGAGTGCCCGGTACAGGTGCAAGGCCTCCAGCAGAGCCCAGGAAAAGGTGCAGAGGTACAGGAAGTGCAGCAGGATGGCGATGACCGTGCAAGCAAACTGGGGGTACAGGCCACACCGGGTCAGTGGCCAGGCACACTGGGAGCATGGGTTCTGCTTCAGGTCAGGCAGAGTAGGGGGGCCTAGGCGTTGGGGGCCACTTCAGTGCAACTCTGGGCCAGAGCCAGGTCCTTCTAGGATGCTGGGAGACTCAGGGGGAGCCAGGGAGAGGAAACTATGGGCCAAGCAATGGGCTAGGCTCTTTATCAGAGTTCAGGCTGCAGGAGCAGGGACTGAGAGTGGAGGCTAGGCAAGGGATGATGAGGGAGCCTGAAAGGGCTGGAAGTTGGGGAAGGTCTCAGGGGGCATCTTACAGGGAGGTCAGCCTGGTTGATTCCGAGGAGGAAGACCAGCTGGGCCAGGGCCAGGGCAGCTGTCAGGTTCCGTCGGATGCCGTGCTGGTTGGAGCGGAGGACACGCAGGACAGTGAGGAAGAAGAAGGTGAGCAGCAGGGCAGCCAAGGTAACCCCGAGGGCCACGTACGTCAGTGTCTTCAGTGGCAGGATCTCCCCATTCTGCAGGGTAGGTGGCAGGGTGCCAAGGGAATTAGGAAGGACAGACAGGGCCTGAGCACCCAGCCCAGGGCCCTGGGCTCCCCCTCCCAGCTCTGCGCTGTCCTTGTGGATCCAACCTCCCGCCGGGACACGTCCATGAGCACGGCGAAGCTTGTCATGTGGTTGCACTGGCAGCTGACGTGGCTCTCATTGCGGAAGACGACTTCACAGCCTCGGGCTGACCAGCCCCCCGTGCCACTGACCCTGAGTGAGGAAGGCAGGGTCAGGGAGAAAAGCAGGGAGTTTCCAGGGGCCTGGGCTTTTGGCCTAAAGCCTTGGAGGTAAGGGCAGTGCAGGCTCACAGGATCGAGTGGTTCCAGAAGACACAGATGGGCTTGGTCCGCTCCTCTGTCTCCAGCAGCCGGAACTGTACCGTGACCGGCTTGTCCAGAGCCCGGGGCAGAAGCTCCTCATCGTCATGGACACTGATGCTCACCACAGGCGTGTTGATGACTGGGCGTTTGGGGACTCTGACGTGGGGCAGGCAGGTGCACAGTCACACGGCGGTCGTGACTGGGAGACACCCCTCATCACTGGGAGAAGCTCCCACTCAGGACCCTCCATGCCTCAGCACCCATCTGCCCAACACGCACCCCCACCAACCCCTTGTCCCCCATCTGCTCACCTCAGGCTGCGCTTATCTGGGTCATAGTTGTGAGGCAGTAGCCCAGCCAGGGTACGGTAGATGATGACACTGGCCACCGCTTCACCCTGGCTCAGTTCTGGGTGCCGCCGTTGCCGCCGCGCCAGCTCCTCTGGCTCCTGCGCTTCTCCGGGGCCCTTGGGCCTGACCACAGGAGGCATCTCTGGGAGTGGAACACTGTCACACTCAGCTGGGCCCTGCCCTCTGTGGAATCTGCATGGATGCCCCGGGCCCAGCTCCTGACCCACCCCTTAGCCCCACTGACCTCTGAAGACAGACTCGGGCAGAATGACCGTGGTCTCAAGGTCTGGGGGCCGCTCCCCACGCAGTGCCTCGTAGCGGGGCAGCTTGGCCCCAGCGAAGTTCCCCTTGTCCAAGCGCACTACAGAGATGACTAGGGAGGGGGATGGTCACGGGTCGGACCCCAGGTGAGACAGGCAGGCCCCTAGCATGGCTGCCCTTGAGGGGGCCTCTCTCCACAAACCCCTCCCCAACCTGGGCACCAGCCTCACCAATGTTGGGTGTCACGATGGTAAAGGGGCTGAGGTAGGTGTGCCGCATATTCTGGGCCAGGGCACTGGCATAGGCCTCATAGTGCTGCAGCAGCCAGGCGGTGCCACCCTCCGTCTGCTGGATCAACTCCCAGTGCCGCTTGTTGGCTGCGTCCAGGAGGGCACTGCCCACCCGCAGCAGATTCTGGGGGCAGCAGGATCATAGCGGGATGTGCTCACAGTCCACGCCTGTCATCCCCACCACCAAACCCCAGCCTGTGCCTAGACCAGCCCTCTGCCTCCCATCCACCATGCACTCCCTCAACGCTCACTGCTGCCTCCCCTGGGAAGCCCCCTGGGTGGCACTGCTTGCTTCGGTCACTGGATGCTCTGCCTCCGACTCTTCCTCCTCACTCTCTAAATAAGAGCTTCCCAGCCCCTGCGCCAGGACCAACACAGATGTCCTGAAGTACTGATCCCTCCCAGGCCTTGGTAAAGGGGCAGGCCTCTGCTCTGGGTCCAACCACATCCCAGTGCAAACATTATTTTGTATGAGCACCTTGATGTGAAAAGGGTTGGGAAGCAGTGCTCTAATTACCCACGTGCAAAGCCATGGCTCAAGGGATCTCATGGAAGCCTCATGCCAGGTGGAAGCTCTCCAAAGGTGGGATGTGGAGTGACCCCCACTCTGCCACCCAGGTTGCCAAGAGCAGGCTCACTCACAGCAACCCCCACCTACCCGGCCAGGCCTGCCCCTTCCAAGCCCTACCTCAGTGAAGTGCACATCCTGAGTGGCAGATAGCCCAAAGCCCCTCTGCGCGCTCTCGTGGGCTAGCAGCCGTGTGGCCAACTGGTAGGCCACCTTGACATCGCTCCCGAAGTAGCCAGCCGTGTACTGTGTGGCATTGCGCAGGAGCAGGGCCAGCCGCTGTGAGCGCCCCGAGTCCAAGCCGGACTCATTTCTCTGCAGTCGCTCAGCCTGGATGGGAGTGGGGAGGGGTGGGGATCAGTGCAGGAGGGTGGGATTTGGAACTCTGGATGTGAAGGGCCCCAGGAACATAAGGATTGGAATTCCAGAATCCCTTTATTTCAAAGGTGGGGATGGGCGCAAGTGAGACCTGGGAAAAAGAGAGGGAGGAGATGGAGATAAAGGAGTTCACTTACGAAGCCCTTCAGTTCTGAGAAGGTGACAGACGTGCAGTTGAAGAGGTTTGGGGGGAGCCACCCCCTGTGTTCATCACAGTGGCGCACAGCAGTCCCTGGAGGAAGGAAGTCAAGAGGGTGGCCTCAGGGAGACACACAGAAAGCCCCTGAGGCCTGGCTGACAGGTTCCGCTGGGGGCCAGCATCTTAAAGACCAGAGGCAGGAGCTGAGCAAACAGGGGCCTGGCCCTCCTACAGCCCAGGTGAAGACAGGTGTGCAGAACACCAGAGTCAAAAGTCTCTGTAAGATCGGTCCAGATAAAGACTACAGTAGCATGGGGTCATGTGTCCTCCTTGAATCCCCAGGCATCATGCCTCTCTCCAGCCACACCTTCTGCACTGTGCCACTCTCTGCCCATGAATTGTGCCCATCAGCAGTCATAGGACCAGCGCTAGGTGGTGAGCTGAGGATAGGAACCCTGCGATTCATCTCTGAATCTCCAGCACCCAGCCCTGTGCAGAGCACAATGCAGGTTTTCCAGCATTCTTGTTAAGAGTCCAAGATGCAGGCACCTCAGGGCCACCTTGGGAGCAGGGAACAGTGAGACAAGGAAGATGGGACATGGGGTCTCCAGAACCTGGAGGCCAGAAAGTGGGGGCCCAGGCTCTGCAGTCAGGGCTTCCTGCCCTCACCCCACTGATGGTCAAGGCCAAGTCCTCAATATCACATCCTGGACCTCTAGCACCTACCAAATGAGCCTTTGGGGCAGGGGGCAGCAGCAGGCAGTCCAAAGCGGGTCCGGGGCCACCAGATCCCAGCCTCAATCGCCCGCGGGCAGCTGTCATAATTCACTGCAGGGAAGAACACACAGTTGCCCAGGAGCAGCTCTTCCCCTGCAGCTCTGCCCAATCTCCCCACCCCTCCCTCAGCAGCCTCAGGCCTGCAACCAGCCCCTCTCCTGTCCTCCCTGGGATGCAGGCACCTGGCACACAGTGAGGAGTGCTGCCCACCCATCCCAGGAACCCCACCTTCACAGCCATTGGTGGTGACCTCAGCAAAAGGGTTGTCACAGCGGTCACACTGGCGCCCAATGACGCCCGGTTTGCATGGACACTGGCCGTCCTCAGGGTCACAGACTCGGGACAAAGAGCCCGTGGGGTAGCAGTCACAGAGGAGGCAGGTGGGGCTGCCAGGGGGCCGGTAGTGGTTCTCCTGGGAGAGAGAAGGGAGGAAGGGTGTCACTGGCTCAGGTTCTCCTCCCTGGATGCTCATGGTTCCTTTCTGCTGTGGCCACTCTGGAGAGAGGCTCCCTGACCTCACGTGCCCTCAGAAGTGGTAATCAAAATATTGAACAACTGGTAATAATTTGGAATTGAACCCGTCAGTGAGATGCCAAACAATCTGAACAGGCTGCAAACAACCACTATGGCTGACCCAGAGCTCAGTGGTTAAATATCGGTCCTGGGTCCCCCTGCACCCCAGACACGTGAAAGCAAACAGCCATCTACCCTGCCAGTCAGAGCAAAGGCTCATGGCCTTCAGCTCTCTGCAGGAAGGCCTGTCTCTACTGCCTTCCCTCGGGCCCAGGAGGTGTAGAACAGAGGTCAAGGGCAGCCATGGTGGAGGCTTGGTTGGGGCTGTCACCTTGCAGTGGCACTCGCCGCTTGTCTTGTTGCAGTCTGGGTCGAAGCCTTTGCTGACATCACAGTTGCACGGGCCACATGTGGGGTGTCCCCACCAGCCACGGGGGCAAGGCTGGTCAATCCTGCAGAGAGGGGCCCAGGCAGGTATGAGCTCCGTCTGCCACTCTTGCCTGGGTGGCCCTTCTAACCCTGACTGCAGCTCAGCCAGGCTTTGGGGGCTCTAAGGGACACACCAGAGATAAGCTGCCACCACTGGTTCCTGCTGCCGCATGCCCTGGTCCACTTACCTGGTCTCACAGTATGGCCCGAGGTAATTTGGGGGACACTCGCAGGTGTATCCGTGGGGGGCACTGGGCTTGCGGGTACACACAGACAGGTGCTCACAAGGGTTTAGGTCACACACGTTAGTACAGTTGTCACCATAGTAACCTGGGACCAGAAGGACCAGAGAGGATTAATCTTCACCCTCCTCTGACACTGTCTTCCGTCAAACCTACCTTCATCTACCCCCTTCTACTCTGAGCATCATACCTGCTGTCTGTGGCTTTGTAGTGTAGAACACCAAGGCTCAGAGAGGTGATGTGACTGGCCCCAGGTCACACAGCAGAGCCAGAGTGAGACCCCAGGCACCTGCTCACCCACCCCATTTTCCTGGATCCCTAGCATACCTGGATCACAGCTGCAAGAATAGCTGTCCCAGTCGTTGCTGCAATAGCTGTTGGCAGGACACGGGTTCGAGTCGCAGGGGTCTGGCAGGCTACAGCCTTGCTCCACGTTGAGGCTTTCCCCGCGGCTGAGATCCAGACTGCTGACACCCTCAGGCGTCTCACTTACCCGTACACCCTGAGAGGGACAGGGGCAGTGTGGGCCCTCAGTGGAGTAGGGTTCCAGTCGGTGGGGGGGATTGAAGGGATGAGGGTGAGGAGGGTGCTCACCTGCAAACAGCCCCGGAAACCACGGGCCACACTACTGGCTGGCCCGGGCACTCCCCCCACTGTGATGTTGTTCAGGTGCAGTCCATGCAGCCGGGGGCCCAGGTTGCCCTCTGCCCTCTGCTGCCCATAGTCGAAAGAAAGGATGGCATGGCCAGGGCCCCCGCTGGCTCCCAGTGCCAGCTGTGCATGATGCCAGTCGCCATCATTGGCCCGGCCTGGCTCCAGCCGGAGAGATGAAGCTTGGAGGCCTGTGCCCTCCACGCTCAGTACCACGTGGCCCTCCCGCAGCTGGGACCAGGAGAGAAAGGAGGGTCAGCGGACCGCCTTAATTGGCTCTTCTTCCAGCCCACCGTTCCCCTTTCTGGACCACCAAAGCCACCCTGCTGCCCAACTGAGGCCACAGAGGAAAGGGTATTTATTTCCCTCATGCCCAATAGGTGGCAGCGTTGACCCACCAAACACCTAGCCATCTCTGTCTGCGCCCCCTGGAGTCTACCACAGCCAGGCCAGGGCCTGCCCACCCCGCCCTCCCTGCAGTACCTGTAGGGTGATGGTGCTGCGCCCCCTTGTGACAGCCTGCAGTAGGATGCCATCTGCCTGGCGCGTGCGGAACATGAGGCTGAGGTGCCAGGGCTGAGAGATGGGCAGGGAGAGGCCATGCCAGGCCACCAGGCTGCTGCCCAGGAAGTGCTGTGGATTGGCCATTTCTGTGGAGGCAGATAAAGGCAGACTGTGAAGGGCGGAGCAGCAGTGCCTGAGGGGGCACGATGCTCAGTGCGGTGTCTCCAAGGGAGGCAAGGTACTGCTTCTCCTAGCACCCACTCCCCCGGTCGCACGCCCTCCAGAGCATTTACCTGCACTGGGCCCGCCCCACGCTGTGCCCGGGCCTGCCTCTGACTGGGCCCTTTGTCTCCCATGCTACCCTCCCAGGACTCTGCCCAGACAAGCTTTTCCACCCACAGCCAAGCTCGCCTGAGCCCTGCCCAGTGCCTGCCCTGGCCCTGCCAGTGTTCCCAGTCCCCAGCCGCTGATGGTTGCCCCTCCTACCCTGGGCACAGCTCTTGCCCCCGAAGCCCAGGGGGCACTCGCAGCTGAACGCATCCCATTGGTTCACACAGGTGCCCCCATTGTGGCAAGTGTTGCTGTCGCACACGTTCTTCTTGGCGGGGCAGCCTGGAATGGAGAGAAGAGGGCTCAGTGCCCCAGGACAGGGCTCCAAAGAGGACACCTGTGGCAGTGGCTGGAGAGACCTTTGAGACCCCCACATGCTAGTGTCCCCATACTAGGTATGGCCCCTGTTCCAGGCCTCCATACCAGGCACAGTGCCATTGTTGGCAATGAAGTCGGCCATGTCCACGTGCCGGCTGTCCACCTGCAGGTTCCTCATGCAGCCCACGAAGTGCCGCATTCGAACAGGGAAGTTCTCGGGCAGGTCAGGCACCCCACCCAGCAGCAGCGGCCCTGTCAGATCCAGAGACCTGGGAGAGCAAAAACAGCGGCGGCATGAGGGGGACTGGCAGCTTTGGGCTCCCCTCTCTCCCCATGCCCTGCTGTCAGGCCAGAAAGAGGAAAGGCCTGGGCAGAGGAGTCCAGGAGGCCCTGCGGAGCAGCTCAGAGGAAGGGGTCACCCCCAACCTGGAGCTGTGCTCATCTCATACCCACCCCCTCCCCAGACTGCTCCACAAGGTCTTGCTCTAATTCCCCAATCTTGCCCCTACCCCCAGCCCCAGGACTGAGCAGGGGTAAGGGAAGCAAGGCGAGGGAGGACCCCCATCTGGCTTGGTTCCCCCTTCAGGCCCCCTAAATCTTACCCTCTTGACCATCTCCCCCACCTGGCCCTGCACCTCACCCCACCCCACTCCCTGGCCCTTTTCCCTGCTCACTTCTTGCTGCCACCCTGGGTGCCTTGGGCGGCACAAGAGTAGTTGCCCAGCACAGTTCCGAAGCGCAGGGCCACCCCTGTATCACAGCCATCCACGGTCACCACGGCCACCTTCTGCTCAGATGGGCCCTGCGGAAGCCCTGTCTGGCCCAACAGCGGCTATGGCCAGGGAAGGGCAGAGAAAGGAAAGAGGGGGCAAGGAGCCCATTAGGTTCATGGGCCAGGCACAGAGATACCCCAGCAAACACGGCCGCACCTTTGTGTACACCTACGCACATATATACACTCGTATATACGCACACGCACATACACACACGTGCGCTCACATGATTTACGTGCTTAACTACTTTCCTCAATGTCTACCAAGGCTATGCCTGCCTAACAGTACAGGGCATCAAGCACTGCCCAGTGAGATGGGAATGCCCCAGCAAGGTGGCCTGTATCTACCCTCTCCCTCCCTCTCAGACAGAATTGCCATGACCAGCCCCCTTCCCTGGGGGCAGTGCCACCCAGGTCTGGGTGAGCACCTGAGACAAGAACAGAACCTTCCAATTCCTCTGTCCCCTTCCCACACCCACCTTATTGTAGTACTTCAGCTGCACTGTGTGCCACTGGCCATCACTGACCCCTCCAGGCACGAATGGGGACACAGTGGTGGTCGACTCCCCTGGGGAAAGAAGCAGGTGAGCTGAGACATCAGACGGGGGCTGATAAAGGAGGGGTTGGAGCTGCGCATTGTTGCGACTGGGCCTGGATCTGGCTGGAGAGTGTGTGGCTCGGGGTCAGGGGCTGAGAGACATGGGGCCTTTGGGAGACGGGCAAGGACATGGGGCCACCGGGATCACCTGCAGAGAAGGTGAGCTGGACTTGCTCCTGGATCACCTCGAGGGCCACAAAGTCATGCTTCTCGTTAAAGCGCCCATTGTACAGGAGCAGCCCATCGCGCTCCTTTGTGGCAAACCTGAGCAGAAATCGGGGATGGGGGCAGAGAATGGGGCACCCACTTGGATGCCAGCACTCTAGCCACCTAACCAGCACCTGATCCTGCCCAGAACCCTCCAGAGGGCTAATGCCTTGGCCAAGACTATGACCCAAACCAGAAACCTGGCATACTGGCTCCCTATCCTAGAGGGTAGGGTGGGAGCAGTGACAATCAGACCCTGGAGGCCAAGGAAGGTCTGCTGGCAAGGTGCACAGGCCACTCCAAGTGCAGACCTGGTTCTGCCAACAACCTGCTCCGAGCATGCGTGCTGCCTGACCTCTTGCTTTATCCACAGAACAGGAGGTACCCCCGATTCCCACTATGTCCCCTGACCCCAGTGCCCAGCCACTCACGAGAGTGCCAGGGTGAAGTGGAAGCGCTGGCGCAGGCCGCGAAAGGTGATGAAGGAGCGGGCAGGGAAGCTGCGTGTGGTCACCTGGCAGTAAGGCTTCTCAAAGTCCCCAGATGGGCAGTCGCACTTGAAACCGCCCACCAGCAGGTTGACGCAAGTGCCCCCATTCTTGCAGACACCCGGGGTGCAACGGCCTGAGCGGGCACTCACCTCACAATGCTCACCTGGGCGAGAGGAAAGGGGGTGAGTATCAAGTAACCTGAGAAAGAAAAGAAGTGGGGCCCTCCCCCCCAGTGATATCTTCCATGGCCTCCCGTGACCCCGCATGATGCCCCAAGCTCCCTGAAACACCCCTCCTCTTGTATGCCCATCTTCTCTGAGAGCTGTGAAAGCCCCGCCCTCACTGGGTGCTGTGTGGCCCACTGTGCCATTCTCACCACAACTCCACACACTGCTCCCCTGCAAGTTCCCTGAGGTTCCCAGTCCCTCCTCTACCCATGTTTGGGCTTCATAAGCACAGGCTGCTGGGGCCCCTGGTCATAAGGCCTAGATCCTAGTAGCCTTCGAGTCACACCACCAAGCAAGCTTGGAGATACTCTGGCCCCTGCAGGGGTGCATGTGCATGAAGGCAAGGACCTGCAGGACAGCATGAGGGCTGTGCCAGCCACCCCTTAATTGCTCCCTCCCTCCCACTGGTGTTTTTGTCCCTGTCAGATCAGTTTCCCTCCCTGGGGATGAGACCAGGCTTCCATCTGGATTTGTCTGAGTTATGGGGGCAGGAGCTGGGGAGCCCCCAGGAATGTGCCAGAGAACTCCCACCCTGAGCCCTGAGGTCCAGACTGAGGACTTCTGTGCACTTGGGAGATGCTGAGAGAGTGGGGAAGTGAGCTCTGGGAACAGATCAGGATTCAGTGGAGGAACTGAAAATTCTAACATCAGATGGGAAAATCCACCCTTCTCTCTCCCTCCCCATTCCCAGATTCTAGAGATAGGTTCTCAGCTCCTGTGCCTAGTGACTGGCTCGTGTTTCCATGGAAACTGTTGTTCACCTACTCTAAGCCCCCCTCCCCATCCTCTTGGACAAAGACTCCCCTCCCCTCCCCCAAGCCTGCCCCTCCCCTTCTCCCCATCCCCAACAGTAGCAGAGAGGAGTGAAGTCTGGCGAGTTCTGCACAGGAAAATGCAGTAGGGAAGGCGGCGAGGCCTGCCCACCACTGCTGGCAGAGCCAGTGGGCATGGCTCTGGAGGACAGGGAGCCAGGCCTAGGCATCTGGGAAGGAAAGACCCATAGGGAAGAGGAGTAGGGGGTGTCCTGAGGAGAAGCAGGAGCCTGCAGGGAGGGGTCAGAAGCACAGAGCAGAGCTCAAGCGTCCCAGACAGAGGACAGGATGTACAAAGACCTCAGGTCATAGGCCAACAGGGAGGCCTCAAAGCCAGGACCCTCTTTTACCAGCACCTGGGCAGGAGTGGAGCCACTCTGCCCAGGGCTACACAAGTCCATTGATCTTCTAGATCACCCCTATCTACAAACCTAAACCCTTCCAGTTTCCCCACCTCTTCTGGACCTTCCCCTCAATGCCTGCGAAGAAAAGTGCTTGCTGCAGCTCAGAAAGATAACGCACTCAGCAGTGGAGATCAGGTTTGAGGACCAGTCTCACCTCTAATCAAGCTGTAAGATGAGACCTGGAGCAAGTCACCCAATCTCAGCATTTCTGTAAAGCCAAAACTTTCCACGGGCCAGCTTTTCCATGTTTCAAATTAATTAAATTAATCATCACAACCAACTTGTGACCTAAATAGGTTCATTATCCCCATTTTAAATTACTGAGGCCCAGAGAGGTTAAATAACTTGCCAAAGGTCACACAGGTACTAGTGGCTACGCTGGGATACAAACCCAAGTGGACTGGCTCTACAGCTAGTGCTGACTTCATTTACATGCTCATGTGTGTATGTCGCACGCTCTGCCTTCCTCAATAGGTTGTTGTCAAAGAGCAGGCGGGATTCGTGAATGCCCAGCATAACTGTGCCTTACTCTGGAAAGGAACGAGGCAGCCCCTGTCAGTTAGCCTGATACGTGCTTGCACGGTAGCGCCAGCCCTCGAGGGCCAGCCCCACGAGTCCCCTCCCTCGGCTCACCCGTGTAGCCGTCCCGGCAGAGGCAGGTGTAGCCGCCCTCGCGGCTGCGGCAGCGCCCGTGGGGGCCGCAGGGCCTCGAGTAGCAGAGGTCCACCTCGGTCTCGCAGTAGTCGCCCGTGAAGCCGGGAGGGCAGCGGCAGCGCAGGCCGCCGACGGGGTGGATGGGCCGGAAGAGCACGGAGGACGAGGCGATGAAGGGCGCGGACGAGTCGAAGCGCAGCACCGACACGCAGCGCATGTAGTTCTCGCAGGGCTCGCGCAGGCAGATGTTGTCGTCGAAGGGCAGCACCCGCTGCGCCGAGATGGCCGTCAGCAGGCTGCGGTTGAGGTACAGGCGCTCCTGCAGGTCCTCGGAGGGCAGGAAGGGCGGCCCGCCCGCGGGCCCCGGCGGCTGGCCCACCGACAGGCTCACGTTGAGGATGTGGCCGCCGGGGGCGTCGGTGTCCCGCTGCACGTTGAAGACCACCACGTGGTCCGGGGGCGTGGCCAGCGTGGCGGCCACGGCCTGGATGAAGAGGCCCAGCAGAGGCGACAGGAAGCGCTCGGGCGACATGTCCTCCAGGCGCAGCGTGATGCTGTGTGTAAGCATCTCGTCTGTGATGATGGTGACGCGCAGTGCGCACTGGGCCGTCACACTGTGCACGCCGTCTGTGGAGAGGCGACAGGGTCAGGACCCGGCCTGGGGTGGGGAGGGCGGGACTGCCAGGCCGCAGAGCCCGGCGCTGGGCAGGGGCCCGGGGTAGGCTTTGTGACCGGGGCTGCCGTCCAGCCTGCACACTCCTGCACCGCTCGCCAAGAAAAGGCTCCCTCTTCTAACTGGCATAAAAGTGCCGGGTGAAGTATGTCACCTGTGGCAAGTCACTCCTGAGGGATTAGCACCCATAGGTGCTTAAAAGGATGAGATTTTCAGAAGTTCTCTTTGCATACTTCTCCAAAACCCTCTGTTGTGAAGCACGGCATACCTTTTCATGCCTGTGTCCCTTTCCCTGTCCAAGCCATGGGTCCTGCGCCCTTACATCAGACTCGCGGCTTCCCTGCACTGGAACCTTCCTGTTTTGTCTTTTTCTTACTTCTCCGCGGGGCCCAGAGCACCATAAGAGACCCACAGAAATCATCCCCCCACCCCCTCAGCCCATAATGCTGACCCTGCCTGTGCTTCCCACTCCCCGACTGGGGCAGGGAGTGGGGGGTGAACTGGGTCAGTGGGCCACCCAGCCCCCCTCCCACTGAGCTTCATGGCTGCTTGGGCGCAGGACCACTATCCCCATGGCAACGTCCCACACAAAGCGTTCTTCCCGCCCAACTCTCTGGACTGCTGTGGGTAGCCTGGGGAGGCCCCACCCCAGGAAATCCTGCTGAGCCACCTTAACTGGTGGCAGCACCACCCACTGCCCCATGAAGAATGGGGGTGTAGGGAACTGGGGGCAGAGGTGGAAGGGCCTGGGCAGCTCTCCACCCAGAGACCCCAGAGCTCCACTGCGCTGCTGTCTCCTCTGGCCCTAGGGCCTTGGCTACTCATTGCCCACTTGGCTCACTGCATTGCACCCAAATGCCTGCCATACCCCAAGGCCACACACTCACTTATAAACAGCTAAGGACTAACATACACTCACTGGTGTCTCACTCTACCCACACACCCTAAGCCCAGAAATACCATACACACCTGAATGTACATACACATGGGAAAGGATTTTATTTAGCTCAAAATGAAAGCTGGGGGCCAAGCAAAGGGGGAAATGTCTAGGCAGGGCTATAAGGTACACTCATTTTTATTGAGTACAATGCCTACGCATAGTAGGTGTACAGTAAATACTAGGATGTTGATGAGAATCTATTTGGTTTCTATAGTGAAGAAATGATCTTGAAAACACAGCAGAGTGACCCCAATTAGATATAAAATAGCAGGAATGGGGCAGGAGCCAGCATTTCTGAGGAAGGGTGGGAGCAGGAGAGGGATATGGGAATAGATTTCTGCATCTGTGCTGTACCTAACTTGAGGTGCCTGACTATCCTGGTGGCTCAGTGGAGCCTGGGAAGGATGAAGGCAGACAGCCATCTCAGTCGGCCCACGGCCACCTGCCCTCCAGCCTTGCTGCTCGGGACTGCCGAGCCCGCCGGCTGTCACCAGCAAGCCTGCTTGTCACCACCCACTTCTGCTCCTTCCGGTCTTGGCTCACAGCTACCGCACAGGCTGTTCCTTCCTACTTGGTCTACCCAGCCCACAGCCCCCCTCCGCCCCATCTCCTAACCTGCCCTAAGCTCACCTGGTCCAGGAAGCCTGCCCAGATTTATAACCTCAGGCTCTACTTTCTTCCCTCCTTTGGACCTCTCTGCACTCAGGTACAAAGCTGGCACGGGGCTCTTGCGTGTCCAGTGCATCTGCTCAATGATTCCTTGATGGGAGAGTCCCTCCAGGCAGAAAGCAGCCCAGGACTCCACACATAGTGTTCATAACTGATTAGGGGAGGGGAGGGGACTGTCAAGCCGATGAGCAAGAGAAACCTTGCCACCCCTCAACCCTGGGAATAAACACTCCTCCCTGTGTCCCCCCTCCACCGTCCTAGGCCCCACTGGTGCCGTTCTCCCAGCATGTCTCTGTTGCTTCCCATCTGGTCCACCATCTGTGGCCACCTGCCCCCTCTGCTATTGTCCCCCATCCCCAGCAGTCAACCCCCTGTTCTCTCCTTCCTCTTTGTCCTTCTCCCCTGCCTTGACCAGGGTCACCCCTCAGGGGCAAAGGCAGTGTGGGAACAGGAGTGGGGAATGCACTACCTGAGTTGTACTTCTGGAGAGAAAAGAAAGAGTTGGGATGGGCTCTGACCCCAGGAAACACCACCTGTGCCCAGAGCCAGCCACACCCGGAAAAGTGCCAGGTCCCAGAGCGTGGCAGAGTTAGACTCCTTGACTCTTGTCCCCTGGCAGATGTGCCAGTGGAGGCTGGAGGCCTGGAGGGGCTCTGTTCTTCTGGGGGCTGACCAGGCACACACAGGAGCTCCTGTGTGTCCCAGCAGAGGAAGGAAGAGGTGGGGAGAATTCAGGGTTCAGAAGGCCATGGGCCCAGACTGGGGCAGCTGCAGCCAGGGAGAAGAGAGGGAGAAGACAGAGAGGCACAAACACTGAGACCAGACAGGGGAAGACAAAAGCCCAGGAAAAGAGGCAGCAGTGGAGAAAGTGGGAGAGGAGGAGAGAGACACACAGGAGCTGGGGGAGAGGGCAACAGGGAGAGGCAGGGCCAAAGGGCCCGCATGGGCAGGCGGTGAAGAAAGAAGAGACAAAGAACAAGAGAAGGAAAACAAAGGGGCAGTGGGAGTCAGTTCCCCCTCACCCCAGCCTCCCTGGACTTTGGGGTTGCCATGGCGACTGCCTCCAAGGGTCAGGGCCGAGGGGAAAGGGTGGGGTTCGGGCTAAAGGGCCAGCGTGGCTGCCCTGGGTGCTGCCCCAGCCTTCCCCTCTAGTTTAGGGGAACCAAGGCCTGCGGCTCTGCCCTGGCAGCAAGCTGATGGCTGGTGGGAGGCTCTTCTGCCCCCATCCCTCAGTGCCTGGCCACACTCACCTAGGGCCGGCTGTGGGCAGAGGACAAGAGGGAGAGGCCCTTGCTTTCACCCGTTTCCCACTGCCTCAAGTGCTGACATAGGTCAGGGTATGGGATGCAGAACTCCAGCCTCCCACTTCCTCCTCCTGGAGAGCCAACTGAAGCTTCAAGAAGCACAGAGCCTGTCCACAGACTGTAAAAGCTCACACTCCCTGGTTCCCATGGCCACCTGAAGTGTGGGGCAGGGGAGGTGTCTGTCCAGCAAGGACTATGAGTGGGGAGGGGGCTGAAGCCATGCCCTGTCTCTCACATGCCCCTCACTGCCCTCCAGGCCCCACTCCCTGGGAGTGGGGGGTCTTCATTTCCTCCCTTCCCTGATGTGTCTGAAGGCTGCCTGGAGTGGGAGTGCCCCGACCCATCCCTGGGATCCATGAGGGGGAGGGCACTCAGCAACCTTAGTTTGGTCCCTCTGGCTGCTACCCTTCATTCCCCATAGCTGATAGAAAAGACCTAATGTGGTCGCCCCCCCCCCCCCCCCCCC